CTCGTCACCACTTCCCAGTTGGGACTACAGGCATGCGCCACCACACCTGGCTAATTTTTGTATTTTTTGTAGAGCTAGGGTTTCCCTTTGTTGCCCAGGCTGGTCCTGAACTCCTGAGTTCAGGGAATCCACCTTCCTTGGCCTCCCAAAGTGCTACAATTACAGGTGTGAGCCACTGCACCCAGTCTTCCTCTCTCTCTCTTGTATAAAAGTATTTTATTTTATTTATTTGTTTTATTTATTTATTTATTTTGAGACTTGAGTTTTGCTCTTGTTGCCCAGGCTGGAGTACAGTGACTCAATCTCAGCTCACTGCAACCTCCGCCTTCCAGTTTCAAGTGATTCTCCTGCCTCAGCCTCCTAAGCAGCTGGGATTACAGGCGCCTGCTACCAGGTCTGGCTAATTTTTGTATTTTTAGTAGAGACGATGTTTCACCATGTTGGGCAGGCTGGTCTTGAACTCCTGACCTCGTGATCTTCCCACTTCGGCCTCCCAAAGTGCTGGGATTACAAGCGTGAGCCACCTAGCCTGGGTTCAAGTGATTCTCCTGCCTCAGCCTCCGGAGAAGCTGGTACTACAGGTGTGTGCCACCACGCCCAGCTAATTTTGTATTTTTAGTAGAGACAGGGTTTCTCCATGTTGGTCAAGCTGATCTCGAACTCCCAACCTCAGGTGATCCGCCTGCCTCGGCCTCCCAAAGTGCTGGAATTACATGCATGAGTCACCATACCCGGCCTTTCCTCTTTCTAACAGAATGAATAGTCCAGAGAGCTGGGACAATATTAGAGGAGAGAACCTGAGGCCTGAATCAGAGTTAGTGGTGGTGGTGAGGCATAGGAGAGAAGGGAAAGGACTAGAGAGTTCCGTGGGAGCATCAAGTGTGACACAGGGGGCCGCGCGCAGTGGCTCACGCCTGTAATCCCAGGGCTTTGGGAGTCCCAGGGAGGATTACTTGAGGACAGATTGAGACCAGCCTGGGCAGCCCAGTGAGATGCCATCTCTACAAAAAATTAACAATTAGCAGGGCATGGTGGCATACACGTGTCATCCCAGCTACTTGGGAGGCTGAGGTGGGAGGATCACTTGAGCCCAAGAGGTTGAGGCTGCAGTGAGCTGTGATCACACCACTACTCTGGGCAACAGAGCAAGACCCTGTCTCTAGGAGAAAAAAAAAAAGTGTAACCTGGGGCTGTGGTACAGAGCTGACTCCAGGCTTGGGGGCTGAGGATGGCCCTCCTAATGTGTGAGGCTGGTGAGAGGGAAAGCTGGGCGGGGAGAGCATGCGGAGGCTGCTATCCTGTCTAGAGGCAAACAGATCTAGGGGTCCTCTTGTCAGCTGCGAGGGTCACAACTCCAGGGAGGTGGCATGGGGAGCAGAGCCCATTGTCACCTTCCTGAGGGACCACTGCCCACCCACTGTCCTCAGCACAGGAGAAAGAAGGCTGGCCCAGCCGGCGGGTCTGCCACCCTGATGTTAGTGTAAGGCACAGTCTGCCTCTCTAGGACCTGGGAACTCGGGATGCCCAGGGCTTCTCTATGTAAAGAATTATCTGGAGGGGCTTAAGGGTCCAAGGAGAAGTGGACCTGGTGTTTCCAGAGCAGCCTGTGCTGGGCCTCAGACTGGACAAGAAAGAATGGAGGTCTGCCCCAGGCACTGCTCTGCGTCCTTACGTGCCTCAGTTTCCCCATGTGAGGCTATCCTGGGGCTCTGGAAAGGGAGCCTCTGCAGTGCACCCAGCCACTGCTCCCTGGATGTCCTGCCAGGCTCCCTCCCAGCACTGGCCTCCCAGGAATGTGCTTCTCAGCCCCCAATCTGGGCGCCTGCCTTATCGGCCCCCAATCAAAGGGGAGACAGACACCCCTGTCGACAATGGTGGCCCCTCCTGTTAGCCCCAGCCTGACCCTGAGTTGAGGGCCAGCCAGCGCCTGCTAAGTGCCTGGAGGAGGAATACCTCCCCTTCCCCACGCTGACATGAAACCCGACCTCCTGCACTGGCTCCTTTGTGCCCGCCGGGCGCCCGCCCTGGCGTCAGAGGCCCTGGGTCCCCGCCCTGCCGCACACTGCGGCTGCCAGGGTGGGATCTGCTCTGCCTGGCCTGCTTCCACCATGACCTTAGCCTGCTTTGTTGGAAAACGAAGGCTGTCTGTGGGGGTCCACTCAGCCTGTCCCCAGCCCCCAACCCCTGAGTGTCTTGGTTCAGCCCCTGCCGTATGAGGCCAGACCCTCTTCTCACTCCTGAAGCAAATGCCCATCCCTCCAGCACTCCAGGCTCTCCCCGTCCCCTCCAGAGCAGGGAGGAAGGCTCCTGAACCCACTCTCATCAGGCAGTGGTCTCACCCCACTCCCCAGGGAACCCCTCTCCGCGTCCTGTGGGACCCTCATGCTCTTGGGATGCACCTGAGAACCTTCTCAGCCAGTCCTCCCTCTTGGCCAGTTCCAGTCTCCTCGGGGCACCTCAGGGCCCTGTCCAGAGCATCCCTTGTCTTCCACACTTCCCTCCATGGCTGCACTCCCCTTGCTTGTGAAGGCTTATCCATCTGCGTGCCTTCCTCTCCCTCCTGACTGCCATTATCCTGGTTACCAGGAGCCTTGGCATAGCGGCAACTCAGTCCCTTCCCCGGCCACACCTCCCTTGATTCTCCCTGCCTGGCTCCTGAAGCCCTTTCCTGGCTCAGCCTCCCTTGGCCTCCCCAGCTGGGGCTGCCTTCTCTCCCTAGCTACTGCATCAGGCTACCCAGGCCTGGCCTCTTTTCTCCATTGGCCCTCGAGCATCTCACACATGCCCAAAGCTGCAAATGCCATTGATCTACTACTGATGATTGCACTGTCTGCTCCAACCTCTACCCCAACATCACACTCAGATTTTTCCAAGCAATGTCATGCAGATGCCATAACATAGCCTCCATCCCCCTCACCTTCTCCCCATGAGCTCTTCAACTCAAAAAGACCACCACCATCCATCCACTCTGTGGCTCAGGCCTCTGAATCCACTTGGACGCCCCTCTCACAGTCCTGTCCCATCTGTAAGCAAACCCACATCCCACCCCTCCTCATCCTGCCGGTTCCACCCTCCCCAAGTCATCACTGTCCGTTGAAGCCTCCCCCTGCTCATGGATTCCTCTGGCAATCCACTACCCTAACAGCAGACACAGAGGGTTTTTTTTTTTTTTAAGTTTAGTAACATACACAACATAAAATTTGTCCAAACTATTTGTAAGTGTTCAGTTCAGTGGTATTAAACATTCTTATGCAACCATCCCCAACATCCACCTCCAGAACTTTTTCAATTTCTCAAACTGAAACTGCACTCATTAAACAACAACTCCCTGTTCCCCTCTCATATAAGCGGAACCATACAGTATTTGTCTTTTTGTGACTTTTTTTTCTTTTGAGACAGTCTCACTCTGTCGCCCAGGCTGCAGTACAATGGCACGATCTCAGCTCACCGCAACCTCTGCTTCCCAGGTTCAAGTGATTCTCCTGCCTCAACCTCCCGAACATGGGAGAGGCCTTATGTACTCCCGAGTAGCTGGGATTACAGGCACACGCCACCACGTCTGGCTAATTTTTGTATTTTTAGTAGAGGCGGGGTTTCACCATGTTAGCCAGACTGGTCTTGAACTCCTGACCTTGTGATCCACCCGCCTTGGCCTCCCAAAATGCTGCGATTACCGGCGCGAGCCACTGCGTACAGCCTTGTGACTGGTGTTGTCACTAAGCGTATGTCTTCAAGGGTCATCCATGCTGCATCATAGACCAGAATTTCACTCCTTTAAGGTTGATTAGTATTGTATTGCATGTATTCACCACATTTGCTTATCCCATCGGTGGCTGAACATGTGAGCTGCTTCTGTCTTTTGGCTATTGTGAACAATGAGGCCATGAACATGGTTCTGTGAATATCTGTTCAAGTCCCTGCTGTTTCTTCTTTGGATAAGTACCCACAAGGAGCATTGCTGGATCACACAATAATCGTATTTTTAACTTTTTGAGTAATGGTCATATTGTTTTGCACAGCAGATTAACCACTTTGTATTCCCACCAACCGTGCACCAGGGTTCCAATTTCTCCTTATCCTCACCAACACTTATTGTTTTGCTTTTCACAGTCACCACCCTAATGGACACAGGGATCCTTGTAAAGGGACAATCAAACTTCACATCTTCCCAGAGGCATCCCAGGTCACCCCACCTAGCACTGCAGACCCCCACGTGGCCCCACCCCGCACTTGGGAATATTTTCATCTAGCGTCAGCACTAGCTCATTGTATTGACTGCCTCCTGGCTGGACCCTGAGAGACAGTGTCTTTTGCTGGATGCCGTATCCCCAGCATCTAGAACGGTGACGGACATACAGTTGTTTAGTAAACTGCAGAATAAATGAATGAAATTTCTCTTTTCCACAAAAATACTGAGGCCCTCTCCTGCCTGTCCACTTGCTCTGGTGCCGCTCAACCGTCGAGCCCCACCCGGGGTGTCAATCCCCCAGTCCAGCCTCTCGTTCCATGGGCACCCGGGAAGACCCCTGACAGGAGCTGGCACATTTGAGTGGGGCCTTGGATGTTTGGGGAGGTTTGGACACGTTCCTGAACGCCTCCCTGCTGTGGGTTAGGTGGGCCCGTTTTGGGTTCGCAGCAAGGAGAGCGTTTTCGCTAGGTAGTTAGTGAGCTGGAGGCGGGCCAGCAGTGTCAGGGCCGTCCCACTCCCTGCCCCGCCCCCACACCCACCCCTTCCGGGTTTGCCTCGTCTGCTCTGGTCTTTGCACCCCCAACCATACAATCTTAGCCCCGTCCTCGGGGTGTCGTGGATCCTCGCTATTGGTCCGCTCCTAAAAAGCCGCGAAGTGACCAATTACTCATTGGCCACACGTTCTCCCGCGCCGCCACCGCAGCCACAACAACCGCCACGTGCTCAACCTTGGCGCCTGCCCATTGGCCACCAGCCTCTACCCGCCCCCTCTCCCATTCCGCCCCTAACTTCCCTCTTCCTCCTTCCATTGGCTCAAGGTCTCTCTTTTCAGACTGGGGCGCGCAGCGTCTTGGACGCGGATTGGCCGAAGGCGGGGCCGGGAGGCGGGTTAAAGAGCGGGTTGCCGGCCAGACCACGCGTGCTTGAGAAGGTTCAATGGCGTGGCAGGGACTGGCGGCCGAGTTCCTGCAGGTGCCGGCGGTGACGCGGGCCTACACTGCAGCCTGCGTCCTCACCACCGCTGCGGTGGTAAGCGGGCCGGGCAGACCGGACGTCGCCTTAGTTACAGCCTCTGGCGGGGGGTGAGGGTCGCCATGGTTACAGCGTGGCTCCCGGGCAGCTCTTGACTGGCCCCTGGTTCCACAGCAACTGGAGCTCCTCAGCCCCTTCCAGCTCTACTTCAACCCGCACCTCGTGTTTCGGAAGTTCCAGGTGAGGCCGCCCCGCGCCGCGCACCTGTGGGCTCAGCCCGCCCACCCCGCACCTGACCGCCCGTCCCCCGCAGGTCTGGAGGCTTGTGACCAACTTCCTCTTCTTCGGGCCCCTGGGATTCAGCTTCTTCTTCAACATGCTCTTCGTGTATCCTGCGCCCCGCGGACACTGGCTGGGTGGAGGGCAGGCCTGCCGGGCTGGGAGAGGCCGGGGCGGGGAAACTGAGGCCCCACCTGGTGGCACTTCCTATACCGACGTCGTAGGTTTCACTACTGTCGCATGCTGGAAGAGGGCTCCTTCCGCGGCCGCACGGCCGACTTCGTCTTCATGTTTCTCTTCGGAGGGGTCCTTATGACGGTATCCTTCCCGCGGGCACTGGAGCCTCGGGCTGGGGAGCCTCGAGGTTCCGGCCTGTGTTGGTCCTGGAGCCTGACATGAACAGCCATGCCAGGAAGGGACAGAGTCGCTCTCTCCAGCTTAGTATGTGTTTAGGGTCCACCGTGTGCTCAGCTGCAGGTGCCAGGGCTAGATCTTCAGTGCTGTATGCAAAATACAAGGCGATGCACAGACGAGCCAGGTGGGGTGACAGCCACTAGCTGAACCCTGAATGCGAGCAGCCGGAGAGACTGGGGCAGGGACAGGCAGTGGTTGGGCCCTGAGATGAGGCTGTAGGTCTGCACGGCAGATCTCGTGGGACCTGAAGCCTGCAGTGTCGCCTTTATTGGGCAGGCTCATCTTGATGAGGGAATGGCACATAGGGGCAATGAGGAAGGGAATTCCAGGGGCTTAGGAAATCAGAGGGGACTCTGGGCATGGGCTGAGGCCTGCACTGGAGCACCTTGACTCTGGCCCAGCTGCTGGGACTCCTGGGCAGTCTGTTCTTCCTGGGCCAGGCCCTTGTCGCCATGCTGGTGTACGTGTGGAGCCGCCGCAGCCCTCGGGTGAGGGTCAACTTCTTCGGCCTGGTCACTTTCCAGGCACCGTTCCTGCCTTGGGCGCTCATGGGCTTCTCGCTGTTGCTGGGCAACTCCATCCTCGTGGACCTGCTGGGTGAGCCTCCCTGTACATCCAGTCCACCCCAGGCTGGCCACTCCCCTCAGGACACACTGCTTATGCCCTGGGGTCCCCTCTCCCATCTGTGCTGGACCTCTCCTCATAGCTGAACCTCTCATCTGCCTCCCTGCCCCATCTTCCTGCCCTCACAGCTGCTGTGCTCTTACAGCCCCTCAAACAGCCCACAGGATTTGCATCTTCAGGGCTGACTTGCTGATGACTGCCTGGTCCTGACGGGGGTGGGGATGGGCGGGTCACTGCTCCTGTCCCATGGCTTCCACTCCGCCACCATTCTCAAGCCCTCCCTCCCCTGGGTCCTGACTGTTTCTGGGCCTTTTAAGCTTGTCCTTCAGGGCCAACCCTGGCCAGCCCTGGGCTGGGACTCTGTGCAAGACTTTGGGGCATTCATGCTCTGGGGTCTGCAGGCTGTGGATGGGGGCCCAGGGCAGGCTCTGCTGGTCTAGGACTCTGTGCTGTGGAGAGTGACCCCGCAGTCCATGGCTGTCTCACAGGGATTGCCGTGGGCCACATCTACTACTTCCTGGAGGATGTCTTCCCCAACCAGCCTGGAGGCAAGCGGCTCCTGCTGACCCCTGGTTTCCTGTGAGTGCTGAGAGCTCTCCCTCCCTCTCCCCGCCCTCAGATGGCTCCCCCACCCATGGGGACCTCTGCTGGCCTCTGCTCAGCATGGGCCCCTCCCCACAGAAAGCTGCTCCTGGATGCCCCTGCAGAAGACCCCAATTACCAGCCCCTCCCTGAGGAACAGCCAGGACCCCATCTGCCACCCCCGCTGCAGTGACCCTACCCATGGCCAGGCCTAAGAGGCTTCTGGCAGCTTCCATCCTACCTGTGACCCCTACTTGGGGCAGAAAACCCGTCCTAAAGGCTGGGCCCATTCAAGGACCCACACGAATAAACAGAATGACCTGCAGCCTCTTGGCCCATGGCACTGGTTCCCCACCTCGCCTGGCCACATCCTTCTATGCCTCCCCGTCCTCATTCAGTGTGGCCTCTCAGCCCAGCTGTAGGTGGTAGGATAGGGGTGCTCACGGTTGCCTGGCAGAGCTTTGAACTCACAGGTGACAGGCTCATGGTTCTCGTTCTGGCCCAACCAGGGCCTTGGGCAAGTTCTGCCCACCACAGGCCTCTGCTCCCTGCCAGTCAGTGGGGAAGTTCACCAGATTTTGGCTGCCAGGGCCAGGACAGCCCTCTCCTAGGTTGTGCCGAGCCAGCCTACAGGTGTCCCTGCCCATGGTGCCTTCAGGCTGATGCTGATCTAGCCTCTCCTGTCCCTTATCAGCCACCTGACAGGTGGGCCTATGCCTCATTTTTCATCTGGTAACACCAAGGCCCCAGAGTCAGGTGCAGAGGAGGGCCAGGACTGGGTCTTCTGCCCCTTCTGTGACCCCAGAGCCTTGACGTTTTCACCTTAGCAGTCTTGAGACTGGGTGAGGCAGGGACTTCTGGAAGGTTCTGTTCCTGCCCTTTTTAGCTGAGGACCTGTGTGAGCCTTATCCGAACCCTGCAGCTCACTTTTCTCTTCTGACCTGGCAGTTTTCCTTGTTACTCTAGGCCTGTCCGTATGGTTTATGTCTGGATGCTCAGTGGCATGGGGGCTCCTCCAGCTGCAGGTTATCGTTTTCGTGGTAACAACACTGTTCTGTTGAGTTTGCCCACCATGTTGTAGCCAGACCTTGGGGAGCAGCAGCTGACTCTGTGGCGGTGTGAGGTGGCAGTCAGGGGTGAGGGCTCAGCCTCCCAGGCACCTCCCGGCCAGGTGGGCCTGCCTGACCTGTGGGGTGAAGCCACCAAGGTTCCTTCCATCCTACCAGTTGTGGGGACACAGGGCTGCTTCACCATTTCATTAACAAGGTTCCTGCCCCATGGACGAAAGGAATAAATACCTCAGCAATGAAACCTGTTCATGTCCATGGAAGATTCCCCTTTGTTCAAGGGCCTTCTGGTAGGGCCCAGCTGTCCCTTGCTGGGGGCTCTGGGGAGTTCCATTCTTTGATGGAGGGCAGAGGCCCTGAGTGCAAACTCCCTGGGAAGTCCCATGCTATGGCTTGCTCAAAGGAGCCCCCATCTCACCTACATCCCAGTGACGAAGAACCCCAATCCCTAATCGGAGCTCTGTCTCTGCCCCACATGGGGCCCTACCCCACTTCCAGGGAGCACAGCAGTCTCTGACCCTAGCTCTGCCCTGGCAGCAAGGGTCCTGCCAACAGCTGAGGGTGGCCTGTGCTGGGGTCTGTGCCCATTCTCTTCAGTAAGGCTGGGGCTGCGAGCCAGTTTGCTGCCCTCCTAGATCTTATGTCCATTTTAAAGAATGGGGACACCTCCATATTACAGATGAGAACATGGGGGACACGAACTCCTTGGAGACAGAGCTGGGAAGGGGCCCCGGGCTGTGTCTCCTCCCTGCACCATGTCAACCCCCAAGAGCTGGCACCAGGCCACGGCGCCTGCTGGGGTGGGGAAAGGGCCCCAGTCAACCTTGCTATGGGCACCACTGGAGCTGGAACAGCCCTCCTGCACCCAGGCTGGCGACAGCCCAGCAGCGCCCACACAGGACCAGGCCTTCTGCCGGGGACTCCAGAACAGCAAGGCCCCAGCTGGCAGCAGCCTGATCATCTGGACACAGCAGAAGAGCTCACGGCTCCTTCCTGAGGCCGAGCAAGGGGAGCAGGGCTGTTGCTGAAAGGCAGGGAGCCCCTGTCCTGAGCCCACAGCCCCCGTTCTCAGCTCTCCGGGTCTGGAAGAACAGGCTGAGAAGACTGAGGTGCTACCAGGAGCCCCATTCACCCCACCCCCGCCTGGGAATCTGAGGCAGAGGAGAGTGAGGCCTGCCTGGCAGCCGGCCTGTTCACACGCCACCTTTGTCCCTCCAGGCCCCAGCCCCGCTCCTGGCTCTCATTATTTTTATGCTAAAACTTTGAAGAAATTGAACATGACCTGTTGCCTTTTATTTAAAAACTGTAACTAGCCCTGCCTGGGGCTCCTATACAAAAACAAAACACAACCCAAAATCAGGTTTCTTCCTGACCCCAGAGACTGGGGAGGGGTGGGGGGACAGGACTGGGGCTCAGCAAATGGAATGTGTGCCGGGGAAGGCCATCTGGAAGCCTCCACTCCACCCCCACCCCAATCCTCAGGATGGTGCTGGGCTGTCCCCTGGTCTCTGTCCTTGCCAGAAGATGGAGGAGAGGTGGCCCAGTCTTCTGAGATGCTCCGTGGGAGCTGCGTGCTGATGGGCTGGTTACCAGGCGGGGGCCGTGTTGGCGAGACGCCGCATCCGCCTGGGGAAGGAGTTGGGGAGGGCGGTGAGCAGGGCCAGCTTCCAACCTGGGCACTGCCCTTCCTAAGGCTCTCCAGGGCAGCCAGGTGTGTGGGGGTGGGAACAGAGGCAGGATGTGGGCCCCCAGCAGGGTTGGACCGGGCCTTCTCTCAGCCTCACCTGTCTGCTGCTCAGACCCTGACCATCACTCCAGGGACCCTGAGGCCTGGATCTGGGCTGTGGTCAGATCCGGCCTGAGGAATTATGTTTATTCCCTGCAGGGAAACATACCCTGGGGCCTCGATGGGGCCTCATCACCCAGGAGCCTGCCTGCCTCTAGCAACACTAGAGGTACCCTCTCTTCCAGAGACCATGGGAGACTGGGAAAGGCAATGGCCCTGTCCCTGCCAGGTAAGCCAGGTGACTATGGGCAGAGCCGGACCACAGGGCCGGTGGTACCTCGTGTTCCTGTCCTGGTCGCGGATCTTCTTCTCCATCTCAGCATCTGTCAGAGTCTCCAGCAGCGGGCACCACTGGTCTGCATCGCCCGTGTTCCGGATGGCAATCTCCACCGTGGGCAGAGGGTTCTCGCTACAGGGAGGGGAGGCAGTGAGAGGAAGAACTTTTCCAGCTATAGATAAAGGGTCCTCAGAAAGCTCTGGCCAGGGGACTCTGGCCCCTGTCTGTGCCCTGCTTCTCCCAGCAGCACTGCTGGCACCGAGGGATGCTCCTGTCACTGAACCTCAGGGGAGCTGCTGGAGGTGCCAGGCCGTCCCCAGAACAGTGCTGCCACTGTGACCCCATGGGCTTCCCTTCAAAGTGAACTTTCAACAGGCCCTTGTGCCTAGCGTCTCTCTGTCTCTGAGATGAGGGAGGGCCCATTGGCTGTGGAGGTGGTCCTCCTTGACAGGACAGCACAGGCTGGGCCACGCTGATGCCACTGGGCCTCGGTCAGCAGGACTGCCTGCTCCACCCAGTGTCCAGTGCCAGGGCCCGCTGATCAGGGAAAAGGGATGGATAGCAAATGGGAGCAAGAGTCTCCCAGAAGTCCCCAGTGCCCCACTACCGAGGCCACTGCACCGCCTGCTCCTGCTTGTTCCACACACTTGCCCCTCAGCCCACCTCCCGACCAAACCAAACCCCTGAGAGGCTGGTGTGTGCCTAGGGTCAGACAGCTGGCTGGCAGGGAGCTGGACTGAAGCCATATCCCTGGACCACACTCCGCCCTGGGTCTCACAAAGACCACCCAACTCTGCCCCCAGGTACCCTCTTGCCAAGAGGACACAGCGGAGGGTGGGGGGCAGCACGGGCAGAAGCTACACAGGCATGGGGTGGGCGCAGGAGCACTGGAGGAGGGTGGCTGGCTGTCACCTCTCTGGGCCTTGATTTGCAAGTCAGTGTGACAGGATGCTAAGGAGACCACAGGTGTGGATGTCACAGGGCCCATGTGCCTCCCACGTGCAGTGGCTCCTGTCACTCCCACCTCTGAGAGAGAACAGCTTTGGGTGCTGACAGTGTTTCCTGGTTGAGTGACACCAAACCCCTGGCCTGCCAGAAAGCCTCAGCATGAGTTCCTAACCACAACTCTCCTGCTTCCCCTCCCCTTTCGTGGTCCTTTCCTTTCTCCTCCACTTGGGTACCTCACTTGGCTCTCTGTAGGCTCAGTTCCCTGGGAGAAGGTCACCCTGCTCTCCCCCAGCCTGCGGCCCTGCAAAACACCGTGAGCTCGGAAGAGCAAGGGCAGGCTGGGCTCAGGGGAGGCACCAGGCAGACGCTGACAGAATAAGAGAGGACAGGTCCCTGCAGACCTCATCTGGAATATGGAAACAACATTTACTGCTGTGAAAGGCTGTTGAAGGCTGTTACCAAAGCAGCCAACACACATCCATTGAGGGGGCTTTCTAGGAGCCAGGGACCTTCTCACAGCCTCACTGTAGCCGGTGCTCAAGGTTGTGGGACTGGTCAGCTGCAGAGGTCAGCCTGCAGAGCTCCAGCTCCCCACACCCACACCACTGCACACACACCCAACACCAGTAGCCTCGAGCCCTTTCCAGGCTCAGTGCCGCTCTCCTCAGCCTGGGGTCTCAGGGACTGTAAGTATGCAGGGCACTGGCTGCGGCTGGCTCTCCCTGCAGCAGGCCTGACCCTCACGGCTGAAGCTCAGACCACCAGGTCCAGGCCCAGGAAGCCCAGAAGCTCGAGCTCCTGCTGGTGATGCAGAGGCCAGGGCCAGAGGCAGTGCCAGCGCCCCACCCCTGTGGCCCTCTGGGGCTGACCCATCAGCAGCAGCTCCTGACAGCTGTTCCTCAGCCAGCACCGCGTGGTTTAGCAAGCTAGGGACTGCCACAGCCTCAAACCCCAAACCTCATTCCTCACTGTGGGGGCTCCCAGCAGCCTTCCTTGGAAGGCAGACATGAAAGGCACCAAGCCCACACTGAGGGGAGCAAAACATGTTTTCCTCTTAACTTAAACAAGAGCTGGCGAGTGAGTCCCAGAGGCCCCTTTGTTTACCTCCCCTTGGCTCCGGGAAGATTCCACTCCAGTGGGTTTGTTCTAAAATAAGAACTGTTCGAACCAACCACGTAAGAATGGGCCTGGAGCCAGGACTAGCCTGCTTTGGGTTTTGGGGACATGTGGGCAGGGAGACACCGCCCTAAGTTCCAAAGGGTGTTGGGGGCCCTGGGAGCCACCCTACTCCTGCACCCCACTCCTACCAGCAAATTCTGATTCATAGGCTTCAAGGCCACCAGGGACTCTAGACCTTCCGACCACCCAAAGTGTCCAGGTGTGGACAAAGATACCCAGGCAAGGCATGGTCATGTCTGAGGTGACAGAGGAAGCCAGGACTGATGCCAGTGGAGTATCTTGAGGTTTACTTTCTTTTTTCTTTTTTTTTTTGGGATGGAGTCTTGCTCTGTCACCAGGCTGGAGTGCAGTGGTGCGATCTCAGCTCACTGCAACCTCCGCCGTCTCCCAGGATCAAGTGATTCCCCTGCCTCAGCCTCCTCAGTAACTGGGACTACAGGCGCATGCCACCACACCTAGCTAATTTTTTGTATTTTAGTAGAGATGGGGTTTCACTATGGCCAGGCTGGTCTCGATCTCCTGACCTCGTGATCCTCCCATCTCCCAAAGTGCTGGGATTACAGGCTTGAATCACCACGCCTGGCGATGTTTACTTTCAATGTGATCTCACTTTCAAAACCTCATGTGATACAGCAGACAAGTATTATCCCCACTTTACAAATGATAGAATGTAGACTTTGAGGGAAAACAACCTGCCCACAGCCACTCAATCAGGAAGGGGAAATGCCAAAACTTGGTGTCACCTTATGTTTGCAATCAACACCTCCGAGGCTACCAGGAGCCTCAACTGATTTTTACAAGGGTGCCAAGTCCACTCAATGGAGAAAGAGCAGTTTGCAACATGGTGCTGGGACAACATGACTGGATTGACAACGGATTCTTAGATATGAAACCAAAAGCACTAGCAACAAACTAAAAACAAACTTGGACTGCATCAAAATGAAAACTTTTGTGCTTCAAAGGGCACTATCAAGAAAAAAAGGCAATCCCCCAAATAGGAGAAAAGATCTGCAAATCATATATCTGATGAGGTACTTGTAGCTAGAATATATAAAGAACAATTACAACTCAGCAATAAAAAGACAACCCAATTAAGAAACTGACAAAGCACTTTCTCCAAAGAAGATAAACAGCCAGAAATGTATGCAAAGATGCCCAATATCATCAGTCATTAGAAAAATGCAAATCAAGCCAGGCATGGTGGCTCACACCTGTGATCCCAGCACTTTAGGAGGCCAAGGTGGGTAGATCACAAGGTCAGAAGTTCGAGACCAGCCTGGCCAATATGCTGAAACCCCATCTCTATTAAATATAGAAAAATTAGCTGGGCTTGGTGGTGGATGCCTGTAGTCCCTGCTACTCAGGAGGCTGAGGCAGGAGAATCGCTTGAACCCAGGAGGCGTAGGTTGCTGTGAGCTGAGATTGTGCCACTGCATTTCACCCTGGATGACAGAGGGAGACTCCGTCTCAAAAAAAAAGGCCACATATTAGTGGTTCCATTTCTATGAAGTACCCAGAATAGGCAAATCAACAGATAGAAAGTGGATGAGTGGATGCTTAGGGCTGAGAGGTGGCATGGAGCTTCCTTTTGAGGTGATGAAAAAGTCCCAATATTGACAGTGGTGATAGTTACACAGCTCTGTGAATATATCAGAAACCGCTGAACTGTACACTTTACATATGTGAATTGTATGGTTTAATTATGCTAC